CAACGCACAATGCTTATCTCTTTCCCTGACGAGTAAATAATCGACAAATCTTCCAGAAAGTCATAATTCGAGGAAACAGAGAAAAAAACGACCGTTTTTAGGAGGACTTTCTGCCTGTTCGTTTTGATAAAACACTCACGAAAATAAAAAAAAGAGAGACGTAATCTATGAAGATTTATGCACGAATAAAAGTGATCGATCAATTATGCACAAACCTAAGAAACATGAAAAGACAGAAAGCTAGAATAGTTATACCATAATCGTGATTGCCGGGAGTACTCGAGTAAATCATACCAAAAGAAAAAGATCTGTTCAGCAAAATATACTGAAACCGTAATCAGTAGCCGACATTCTAAGATCATAAAAATTGACCTGGTGGATCCCTACATATGATTACGACAAAAAAAATCTAAATTTTGAGAGTCAGAGAGCTCAGAGTAATGCTTCCAAAACACGAAGAACTATGACGTCAAAGAAATTTTTGGAACAATGAAACTTGGATGTTCCCTGTATGCACTTAGCCCTCCAATTCGTGTTGTAGTAACGCAAAGGATATTTTAATGGAGATTATCTCGGCTTATGAAAGATTTTGTAGTCGATTAAAATATGATGCCCCGGGTCAGAAAAAAAGGCATAAATTTGCATGAGTTAGCCCGTTGTTGGGAGAACTAATTGTACGAGGTACAAAGCCACACCATGCCGCATCAGTGGGTCACAACATTGGGGCAGACTGAAGCCGCTGCCCACTGGCCGGCAGTTTACGAGCCTTGAAATAGTTCTTGCTCGACGGCCAGACTGCATGACGCGCGGTCAGATATTTTAACCACTGCTGGCGGCTGGCTGGATCACTTCCTTCAGATAAGGAAAATGCCAACTATTCGGCATGCTGTAAATATCCGGTCCGGTGCGGTGTCTGGAGTGGGCAATACCGAGAAAATTTGACGTGGACTGCGGCCTTAACTCGGTACAGAATCTCAATATGTGACCTATACGAAAAAAGAAGCTTAAACTCAAAAGAATTCAAATTGAGTGATTGATGCTAATGCGTAAGGGGATGCCCTTCAGTTCTGAAATTTTGGGACAGCGATCCAAATAAGTTCGAATCGAACCGGATCTTCGAAGTTTTTTGTTCAAAAATTGAATTTTGAGAATAAGAGGAAACGAGTAAGTGCTCCTATGATGGCTTTTGGAGAATAAGAGACTTTGGCTGTTAGATGTTGCAGAGCGTCGGAGAGCGCTGTGAAATCGGATTTTATGTATGTGCTCTATTGGCTTTCCCTCTACAGACTTTCCCGTCAAGATCTTAAACTCTGACTGCGGGTTGATAATTGAAATTCATAAAAAGACAAAGCGATAGACAAAGAAGACAGAGGGAGCATGGAGTGATCCCATTGGATGAAATAGGTGGTTTTTATAGACCAAGGATGGAAATGATGGACTAACTAACTGTATAAGGTCTATTGTCGGTGCCGTTAGTAAGTCTTTTGCCTACCTCCTATGTCCATTGAAACAACCCACCTCCACCAATAGGATCCCTCCTTATGCCTTTTGTTTTCTTTGTCTATTAACTTTGTCTATTGTCTTATTTATTCTGTCTAGTAATTTAATAATCGGCCCGCTGACCCACCTCGACAAAAATCGCCCCCGTTGAAAATTTTGCCTCCGTGCACTAGTGCCTTTACAGACAGAGTATGACCACTGGATGATCCGATCGTGATTGGTTCAGCCATTTTGGGCTCTAGAAAGCGCTAAGGCCCCAAAATTTTCAGGCGACGACGTGGCAACATGGATGGTTTTTGGGGTTGGCAGTGCGGCAGCATCGCAGACGTCGCGTCAGTTAATCGGTCAGGAAGTAAGCTTGCAGGTTGAAAGCACTGTCGTCGCTCCCGCGCTGCCACCGTGCCCCCCAACCCCCTCCCCCCTCTACCGAACCTTGGCGAGAATCGGGTTATTGCAGTCATTGCCCATTGCTTCCCGCTCCTCACTTTCAGTAATTACCGTGATGACGCGCCCTTTCTGAATATCTGAAGGGACATGCACTGGGACTGAGAAAAACGCGTGAAAACGGCATTGGATTGTCGAAAAATTTGATTTACATGTAAAAAAACGACCCATGATGAATTCAAACTCTGACGCCACTAATCTGTCCTAGGCAGAAAAAAGTAGAGGGTGTCTACTAAGACAGGCTGGCCAAAAATCAGTACTTTTTCAGTACATTCTCGAGAAATTCAGTACCTCCATTTGACGAAATTCGAAAAATAACAACAGTTTGAATTTCTCGCTCAAATCGCGACAAAAATGAAAAAAAAGGGGGTAAAATTCCGGACCTTCTTGCGGAATTTCCGCACTTTTTCAGTACTTCCGGACCGCCCTTAAAAAAGCATGTACTATTTCCGGACTTTCCGGAAATTCCGGACTTGTGACACCCTGTAGTAAAGAAAACCCGAGATAATTGTTTTTAGTGTATCGGCACTGAAAAAGCCCTCAACGGGGGACGAAACGCGTTTGCCATGGATTTCAATATCAAAGAAAGCCAGAATGCTCGTAAGTAACTGTATGATTATTATTATACTGGCGAATCCAAATTTTAATAATTGTTTTACTATACGAGAAACAAATAGAACGGTATCTCAAAATTACTATATCTCTAGACAGGAAGAGTTCATCCCTGACCATCCAGCGGGAGAAGAAGGGAAGGGGTCGATAATTACTGTTCAGATGTGGGGTGGCTCCCCCTATCGGCGCAACATTTAGGGGTGTTTTTTTCCGAGAAGCTAGTTTTTGTGGTCACCAAAACAAGTTGATGCTTTGGCGAAGCGGTGCGTGATGCAGCGATAATAATACCAGCCCATACCACCTTTGGGCTTCCACCCTTGATATATGATTCTTTTGGAGATGTCAGTTTCGCATCTTGTTTTCCCACCGATGTTTCATAGAAATATTTCATAACAACCTACCGAATTTGAGAGGTAGTTTCTTCCTTTTCACCCATAAACGTTATAAGAGAAGCACTGCTTCCCTCGTATTTTTTGAGTTCCTGTCTTTATTGAGTAGCTTTGCGAAAAACCAATTTTCGATGATGATTTTATGATAGAGTAGGCTGTCATAAAAAGAGCGTGATAGTTGTAAGATAGGCAGCCTCCTTCAGCTCTCACACCTCATACTCATCTGCTATCAAGGTAATGCTTCGAAACTATATGGCACGGTGCGAATCGTGTCGTTGGGAGTATCAGAATTACCGGCGCGCCTTCAATTTACTGTATAGGCAACGAGGACAACCACAGAGCACGAATAGTTGCATGCACGCGTTGTCATCGACTTCGCATCACTTTTCTTCGTTAGTCAACCGATAAATTAACTCCGGTCGGCTTGTTATGCATCAGCACTGGAATTTTAACTTAATTTTTTGTTAGTTTTTGAAAAGAGTTACGTAGAAGTTAAAGCTAAAGCTCTGTTCCTTTAAGTTTATTTCCTGCATAAATGAGCATATGATTTATAAAAAAAATTGGCATTAAGCCCGTACGATTTTTCCCGTTTTATATTTCGAAAAGGACACTGAACTTTTGGTTCATACGACTCTTAATGTTTATCCCCTGCAAGATCCTTTCAACAAAGCAGTACTTTAAACAAAGAGATATCACAGACCGAGAATCGTTAGTTCGTTTACTACTATTACTGGTGTTCCATATGAACCACTAATTCGCTTATAAAGTCAAAGATTTTTTTCCGTGTATTACTATAGTTCAGTTAGTATTACTCTTAATATCATTGCACATAGGAGTATTTTATCAAAATTCAAGGTGATAAGTTACACGGAAATCGCAACGTGGCGACATGGCGGAGCTTCTTATGACTTTATTTGATAAATCAAACTAATTTATGCGCATTGGTAATTGGCCCTGTCTAGATCCTCGATAGCGGGTGTGAATGTCCCCTTCCTTGTGCTAGGTCTGTCTCTGTCTGCGGCTTGTCTGTGTTCGCGCCAGTGTGACTAAAACACTTACCATATCCGTCCCCGAACAGTCTTCATAATAAATGCACGTTGCTTTTTAAAATAACTTTGTATTGTGAAGAGGAGGCCAATAAAGTCACCTACTTTCCTCGAGTAAGGACTTTAACAGCGATGAGGGAATATTTTTTTTTGCGATAAGAGTGAAAAGTTGGTCAAACTCGTTATGGAACTTGCGAAAGCCTGCGCAGAATCGTAATTTGGTGGTTTTACTTCCTTGAGGTATATGAGTACAGTGAACAATTATTCTTAAATAAGCGCTTATCATGTAAATAAAAGGCGACAAAAACGTAAGACTCTGTCGGGTTTTATTTCAGTCGAAAGGAATTTTATTCTAATCGATAGCTTAGTAGAATACTTCTGTTTTGAAATTCTCGTAGGATATAATGCCAATAAATAAACTGTTCAAAATGGTTATTTTGTATCGTCCTCTATGTAAAAGTGTAAATACAACACGTGGAAAGTAAGTAAAGCTTGTCACGTAGCGTGTAACATAACGCACCCTCATACACACGGGCCAGGCCTGGCCCCCTAAATTTTGAAAAAATATCATTTGTAATGGCTTTTTTAGGAAATCTGGATAGTAGAAAATAGCCTTAAAATCGGTAAATTTCATAATTCATCGCGCATAATGCGGCGAGAAAATGGAATCTTTTCGAAGTTTTGAGGATTATTGATGAACTTGAACCTAAGTTTGCATATGACTAAATTCTGCGAGACAGTATCCTTAAAATGCTTCCGAGAGAGGTCAATTTTCCAAAAAATCTTATTAGAGACCCTCCGAGACCCTTTTTTTGTACGAGAAAGATCCAGATTTCTTCAAGAAACGTGAAAACCATCAGTCCACTAACCCCTAGAATATTCCTCTAGCTATATGCTTATGCGGCTTTTAATAAAACTAAGATGAGGAGGAAACTGTTGAAACTGTCGAATTTAGTTGAAAGACAAAATCAAGGCATTTTGCATTACAGAAGAAGGATAAGTTACATACCTTGACTGGTTCAGTGTGGAAGTTGAGGATCTGAAACAAAATAAAGGGCATCAATTAGTATCAAAGATCGATTCACAAACAGTGGATATGAATATTGAAGAAATTGATGAACTTCAATCTAAAAGCAACGTGAGATTTAAGAAAATAAACCATGATGAGGTAATGCTTGTTTATAAAATGATATTTAATTCAAAATTTCCCCTTCAAATTCGATTTCAGAAATTCTGTTCTTTAAGCACGGCACCATGCTCAAGGACAGAGGATTTCAAAATATTTTCAGTACGCGTGTTTTTTCAATCCGATTAATCATAATGGGAGGTGAACAATTTTCTCGGTCCCAATAAATCGAGATATTCATCAACACTAATACGCCAAACGATCAAAATTATGCAAATATTTCTCTCTGGGTGCGTATAGTACTCGGATCACAAATCAGACCAGAGGAGCTACTGAGGCCGCCTTTAATTGTCTGCATTGATACAGAATGAATTTGGTGTGAAGCGGTCTGGAGCAAACGTTTGCGGCAGAATTAAAGCAACAGGTTTTAAAAAAGAAGAAGAGGAAGGAAAGAAACCCGCATTCATGTCTGCCAGCTTTTAAGGCTTACGGGAGTCAAGTGTGAGCAGGCGGGACAAAAAAGAGAGGGAAAAACAAATATAAAATTAAATCTCAGCCTGCCAGACACAGAAAAATGCACATAAAAATTACGAGACGAGAGAAAATGATTCTTTAGTGATTTGTCATAGGGGTTTTTGTACGAGCTGATTTGTGAAGCTTCCCGTCTTTGTGCGGCCATCTCTCTCTCTCTCTCTCTCTCTCTCATGCCACGAGACTGTCGATCTCTTTTCCTCTTTTCAGTCAATATTCTGTCATCTCGTTCTTACGACGGAAAATGAAATGAAACTGGTTCGAGTCCAGACAAAGGAACGTAACTCAACACCATTGTTGCGAAATTGACTCAATCTGTTCATTTTTAACACGGAAATGACAGCAAATTCAGCTCAAATTTTGCTAATATTTCAGTCTAATCAAGTGAAAAATCAGTGAAATACTCAATTAGAAAAACGCAACAGTTTTCTGGTGAATTTAAGATTTGTGATTGGAAATTTCGCAAACATGGAAGACAATTTTGTTCTTCCGGTTAAGTAACGAGGATGCGTTCGGCAGAACCGCGTTGAGCCTGTGGATGTATTTTGAAGACCAAGGGTCAAATTAATCTGGCATTTTGTCAAATGCCGCGCCAAGTAGTCAAATTTTAAAGATTAGCTAAGTTTTGCACTTTCTTTTGAGACTCTTTACATTTTTTGATATTTTGAACAAAAAACTTTAATTTTTGCAGCTTCCTTTAAACTATTTTGATTTATATGTATCTCATGATTTTCAGTTTTTAAAATTGTATCTGTTTGCTGTGTTTTTGCTGTAAATTGTATGCTGTGTTTCATATGAAATAATGCTGCCAAAAAGGCATTAGTTGTTCTTTCAAGCTGTGGGATGATTTAGAAAACCCTTAAATTAAACAGAATGAAAAAATAAAATATAAAATATTAGCTACTGGTTCAAAGCATTTTGTCCTTTAAGATTAGCGAAAAATTTGAATTTTCAATGTAGAGAGGATGATAGACTATTGTCTTACATGTGACAAAATAACCGCTTTTTCGAAAGGGCACTCTACTTAAATGCAATTCAAAAGATATAATACTTTTTTTTTGTCTTTTTTGTTTGCATTTTACAAAAAAATAATTTCGCATGATTTTTCTTTGCACAACCGTAAATACGCTTGTTCGATTTAATGATTTTCATTACAAGACGAAATTAGTGGAAAAATCCCACACAGAACCAAGGAGCGGCTTTGGGTACAAAATTCCATATTAAATTCCGAAAAAATTCGGGAGCTATACTACTCCTAAAGATCACAAATGATTACGTTACACCCACAGCCGCAATATCTATCATTAAATCCCAGCAAAGCCGTAAATGCTTAATGACAGATGGTGAGCACAAGTCAGTGTTTGATAGGAACTCATTCTTAATTTAATCCTGCAACACTAGCTTTAACTAGGTATCTTTTGAAGAAATAAAGTAAGAATGGAAAATCGCAAACTTTGCGATCGCTGCATACCGGCCAGCTCGAGACAAGCCACGTGGATACGGCAGTGGAAAAAGTTAATTCGATTTGGACGTATTTATGCTAAAAGGAACACTGCAAAAAAATTCTCGGCGTTTTTACCAAGGTCCGTTGGTACCTTTACCATCTCACTTTTTTACCAATTATTGGTAATTTTACCAAGACAGGCTGGTAAGCTTACCTAAAAACCGGTATTTTTACCGTTTTTTCAGGTAAGAATACCACTTTTATTGGTAATCAACTCCCGGTAACTTTGCCATTTTATCTCGGTAATTCTACCACAGTCGATAAAAAATAATGGCGTTTTTACCAAGGTCCAGTAAAATTACCGAGAAAGTTCAATTATTTTACCAAGATTTCTCGGTAAAATTACTAATTCCATAAATGGTAATTTAACCAAGAAAAAACTGGGATCAAATAGAACCCTGAATTCTTGGTAATTTTACCCTTTTCTTAGTAAATATACCGAGATTTTTTTTCAGTGAACTATGTCTCACGCAAAGCATAAATAAGTCCATTTAAAGTTAATGAGTAGTAATTTACTTGCTCCTACAAACAAAATGTGGATAATGTGCGGAACCTTTCATTTTAATTGTTATCTGTACCTATACCGGGAGATTATTGCCTGGATGCGCACGCTATCAGCTTGAGCGTTTTGTAACAGTCCCCAAATGTATCCGGATTACGCTAACCGCCATTTTGATCGAGACAAACAAATAAATGTAAGCCGTAACAGTTAAGGAGGCCAACTAACTCAGGTTTAACGTAAGCGGAAGTGCGACTTCCTACCTTGATCTTCCATAGGTCCCATCCCCTTTGGGCGTGGCTAGATGGCTAAGCAAGGGTCTTGAGTCCCCTCCTAGACCGCGACTAGTTCTAGGGGCCATGTGCCAAACGGGTTTTCACCAAACGACCAAATAGAGAATGTCGAGTGTCAAATTATTCGTGGGCGTGTCCAAATCAACAGGACGACGACGACCGCGGACCAACTTCTGATTATTAATTCTGTAAATCTTCGCGGATTCTCACCGAAAAGAGATCAAAACTAAACCAGAACAGGCATGGGAAACTTCCAACCGTTCGCTCAACTTCATGATAGATTCTAAAGACATTCATTTCAAAAGATCTAGAATTACAGATTTGCCTAAAAATGAGTGATAATTGAGCTCAGTCGCAAATATTTTTGTGACGAAATCCAGAAGCCATTTTTGATGTCTTCGTGTATGTGCCGAGTGACTATTCCCTGATTTCTTCTCCCATCCAAGAGGACAAGAGGTATGGACTTGAATAATCACGGGGAAAAAGAGTGAAGGGTTATCCCCTAAAACTGTGGAGCTATCCCAATTTGTTGGATGATAAGGACATTTCTAATTTATTGTGGTGGCACCGCAACTCAAGTTGTGATAGTACCACAATATTTAAGTTAGTATCATAATTTATGGGGATACTACCACAATTAATTAATTGGCAATGTCCATATCATCCAACAACCCCTACCTCTCTTTTTTCCGTGATTTGTCCACTGTTCTAAAAGAAACCATACATAACGAAAAAGCGTACTATGTAGTTCCTTACGCTTAATGTTGCTTTAAGATTATTAGAGTTGAAACACATTATAATAAAGAAAGAAAGGGGGAGAAAAAAACTTAATTTTCATCAAATTTTAAATGCCCGCTCTAAATTTCGATCGAGATGCTCGTACCACCCTAACCTTCATGAATATCCACAGATGTTACAAATGATCTGCTGAACATAATTATCGATTCATTACTTATATGAAACTCTTAATTGAAATAAAATGTTATCCTAAAAATGTATTTTATTTTATTTTCCTTTTTTTTATTCTACTCATGCGATACGAGGACACCATAAGAGCGGAGTCCTCCGGATGTGTCTGCTGTGTTATCTTTCCTCGTGGGTATAGGTCATCAATTTGGATTTTTTATTTAGCGTCAGTTTCACTTTTTATTAGCCTTTTCGTGTTTCTCGGTGACCCAGTTTCCATTCATTACGAGTGAATTTGGCCCGTCTGCTACTGCGAGACAGTGCTGACGCGAAGAGTTTCGATGCGGAGGGCCATCAAATCTCTCGGAAGCGGAATTTATGAAAATGATCGTTACAAGCGAGAAGACAAGCGGAAGGTGGATCTATACTGGCGCCGCCGTGTTAAGCTCGCTCAATGGGTTCGGATTAGCCTCTTAGTACCAGTTCCTCCTTTCGCACGAATGTAGTCTCTTGTAGTATGATCAGTGACATATCACGATTGGATTCCTGTCAGACCCTGACTGGCTCGCGAGGGCCATATGTGTGTCCGATTTGGGCCCAATCACGATCATCGCCATTTATTTTTCTACAGAAATTCATATTTGCCTACATTTAATGCAATTTTTCATCAAGTTTGGCTTCCACGTTTGGCTTTTACGAAAAGATCAAGTAGTATGCAAGCTTTTCCAATCCTGTAAAACCCAATATCGCGTTATGATCAAATTTGAAAGAGAAGTTTGGGAACGTAAAGCTAATTTACCATGATCATTAATCAGCAAAAATCAAGCTTTTTGTAAAATTTCGACGCATAATATATAAAAATCTTTCCATGCACTTTGCTGAGATTTCTACCGAGCTTCCGAGCGTTCTCATACAGGGGTGGGCAAAAGAAACGCTCAATACGCAAGTCACAAGTAGAGAATCACTATTTGAACAAGTTGATATTGTGCTCAGATGCCAGCTCCCTGGCCTCTTCGGGAGCTTTGGGAGGTTGCGATTCCCCATAAGTTTTCCATCTCGAAGAATAGGACAGCAGTCCAAACTGGAACATGTTGACTCAAAACTTGAAAAAGTTTTGGCGTATACTGGAAAAAACCACATCGGATATAGAGTCTAGACTCTTGAAAACATTGACAAGAAA